TTTCATCCACCAGTACCCCAAAGTCCTTCTCGGCAGGGCTGCTCTCAACCCCTTCATTCCCCAGCCGGTATTGGTACTGGGGATTGCCCCGACCCGGGTGCAGGACCCTGCGCTTGGCCTGGTTGAACCTCATGAGCTTGACGTGGGCCCATGTCTCAAGCCCGTCCAGGTCCCTGGGGATGGCATCCTGTCCCTCAGATGTGTTGACCACACCACTCAGCTTGGTGTCATCTGCAAACTTGCTGAGGGTGCTCTCGATCCCACTGTCCATGTTGCTAACAAATATGTTAGACAGCACCGGTCCCAATACCGACCCCTGAGGAAAGCCATTCGTCACTGGTCTCCACTACTTCGATTTTCCTCCCTTTTCTGTGCAGTAAGATACTGACATTCCAGTTGTTCCTAAATGACCGTGCTTTTCTGCACGCTGGAACAAGCTGTGCAGGTCAAATCTCCCAACTTCTTTCGGTCTCTCGTTTCACTTGCTGTCCCAGTAGTCCAGTTCGCCGATGTCAGACCCCTGCCTGATAATTCACCACCTCCCATTTTATCTGTGACAACGTTTTGCAGGCGTGGGCGTTGCAGTCCTCTTAACTGTCACTGAAAGCTCCAGAGACTTTATCCTATAACCCGCCACACAGACCTGTGCTTTCTAATCACAGCTGTACAGTTCAGGAATAAATCTACCTGATTTTCAATCAAAGCCAGGGCTTTTGCCAGGGTTACATCGAGGGAGGAGGGGTAGCTGTTGAGAGAACAGTGCATTAGGAAACAACAGGTTCATCACCCACCAAGAAACAAAGGCATAGCAGAATCATAGAATGGTAAGGGTTGGAAGGGACCTTAAAGATCATCTGGTTCCAACCCCCCATGGGTGGGTGCAGCAGCGTGCCTGACCGCACCTTTATCTGACATCCACCTCTGCTCACCATGTTTGATGGCATTTGGTTATGTCCGTTTCCTCAATGAACTTTCAGTGAAGTTTGGGACAAAATTTTCATTTATCTGCTATTTTACCATCTCATCTTTGGGCACATTGGGAAAATACGCAGCAAGAAGTAGCTGAAAACTGTAACCTTCTCAAGCGCCCAGTTGAGAATGTCTCAGCTAGCCGGCGCGTAGGTGTGAGGAGAACACCCTTCTGCTGCAATCCCGTGCGGTCGTGCAAATATTTCTGACGGAGAACGACAGCAGTGGGTCATCTCACCTTGCGTGGCGGCTCGGTTTGGAAGTGTCAGGCAGGGACAGCGTGGTCCCGGTGCCTGACCCCGGTAAGCTGAGGCACCGAGCACTGCCGGGTCTGTGGAAGAGCCGTGGACTCTTTCCAGTGGTGCCCAGCGACAGGACAAGGGGCAACGGGCACAAACTGAGGCACAGGAAGTTCCGTCTGAACGTGAGGAAGAACTTCTTCCCTCTGAGGGTGACGGAGCACTGGCACAGGCTGCCCAGGGAGGTTGTGGAGTCTCCTTCTCTGGAGATATTCCAGACCCACCTGGACAAGGTCCTGTGCAGCCTGCTGTAGGTGACCCTGCTTTG